CCTCGCCATGGATCTGGCTAGTACAAGTGGACAACTTTGGTGGGTCCACAGACCTCCTTAGACACCATGGGACTATAGTCTGCCCATGTTGGAATCAAAACTGAACTCAGAAATAACCAAATGTGGCTTCGTTATCTCTCTCTCTTTTCATGTGTGTGTGTTTCTCTGTGTGTAGGATCTTCTCAAGCCAAAACATGGAATGGACTTGTGCATGTCTCTTCATTCCATTTCAAATATACATTTTATTGTATCTTTTGCTAGTACTGATTCCTCCAGACACCACAAAAATTGCTTTCCTGTGGCCCAAAGGTTGTATATATAGGATTTCCATCTCCAGCATAGGAAGCACATCTTTCCCTGCCATGGACTCATCCCTGTTTCAGTGTCAATGCAATTGCTCTGTAAGCCATGAAGAAAGGATCTATGGTCAACCCTCCACATTTGTGGGTTTGACTTTGAGGATTTGATTTTTCATGGATTAACATGTTCTCTTTAGGAATCTCTAGGTTCTCCAATGTGACTTCCATGTGCAGAAGTTGACTATACAGTCATGCCGGAGAACAAAATAATTCATAGAGAAGTATTTTAAAAAATAGCTTTCTACTTTGACTGAGGTCCTTTGTCCTTAACCCTGTGATTCTATGGAAAAGGTTGGGCTGAAAACAGTATTGTCCCTTCTTCTCTGATTAGGAATATCACAGACCTCCACAGTATCATGGATGGAATAAGGATCTCTAAAACATGTTACTATATCTCAAGCTATAATTCTGCACATCTCCTGCACCATTTTGGTCAATATGAATCCTTATTGCAGAAAAACTCCAGAATTCTTGGAGAAGCTGAACAGCATCTGAATGCTACTGATGCTTGATGAGAGTTCAACATCTACTTGTTCTTCACAAGAAACCAAGACTATTTCTTCCCTGATCCTCTTTCTCTCTCCCACCTCATTTAACAATTGGTAAGAAACTGCGAGTTGCTTCTGGTGTGAGAGAATTGGCCGCCTGCAAGGATGTTGCCCAGGAGATGCCTGGATGTTTTGATGTTTTATCATTCTTGTGGGAGTCTTCTCTCGTGTCCCCATGTGGGGAGCGGGAGCTGACAGAGGGAGCTCATCTACGCTCTCCCCAGATTCGAACCTCTGACCGGTCAGTCTTCAGTCCTGCCAGCACAACAGTTTAACCCATTGTGCCACCAGGGGCTCCTATGAGTTCTGGAGAAATCAGAATCATGGGAACTTGGTGGTAATGATATTGTCCAATTAACATCTAATTAACATCTCCTGGATAGAAATTGTAAGTTGGAGTGCTACTTATGCAAGTAACATTTATTCAAGGAAGGTTCCTTTCTAGACAGCGATTGTTACAGTCAACGGAATATCTAAGCAGTGTTTCTGGTATGATTTCAGCAACAGTTTTAACAGCATGCTCCGTGCTCACAAGGTGACAGGAACATCCTTTGTTTCTGAGGACTGGAAGATCCCAAATGAAGTCGTGTCAACAGGAGGGCCTCTCCTGGCCTTGCTCCAGTTGCTGTCATTTGCAACAACTCATCATTTTGCTGGAGCAGAACAGGGAGTGTATTTTAATCTGCAGCAAATGCTACATCTGCTCAGTTGTACATCACAATCTGGGTGAGGATCTACACCAGGGTCAGAGAACAGGTGGCCTTTTGAATGTTGCTAAAATGCAACTCCCATCAGTATAGGTGTAGAAAGATGGCATATGTAGTCCATTAGCAGCTATGTACAGAGCTGAACATTTCCCATTCTCAATTTCAAAACAAATTCATACCTGCAGTAACTGATCAGGGTTGTCTGCTGTATCTGCAGACTGATCAGGGTTTTCTACTGCAAATACTGTATTTAATTAATTCTAAGTTACCACTGATTATGTTGTTGAAGGCTTTCGTGGCCAGAATCATTGTCACAACCTCTGATGATGCTGCCATAGATGTGGGTGAAACATCAGGAGAGAATGCTTTTGGAACATGGCCATACAGCCTGGAAAAGTCACAGCAACCCAATTCCATTGACTGTAACACACACACAAATTTCAGTACCACCAACAGAAAAACACACACACACACACGATTCTAAGATGCACCCTGTTTTAGAGATGTTTAAGTGGGGAAAGTGTGTCTTAGAATCAAGAAAACATAGTCGTTTTCTGGTTTTGTTGTTAGATGAGGACCTTGGAGTTCAGGCACCGTTCAGTTAGGAATTGCAACGAATGAGCTCAGGCCTCCAATGTTTCAATGATTCACTTTTCTAAACCTGACCCATTTCATGGACTTGTACACTTTGGTGGTAAAATGGGATACATAATAAATAAATAGATAAAAAATAAAATAAACACATCTCTATGGATTTACCAAAGGGATCGTAAAGGTATGATAGAACTGACACACTTTCATCACATCTGCAATGACTTTGTGCAACTCCTAATGGCATACAAACTTCAGAGGTCACAAAAATACACATGAAGTTTTCAGCATCATATAAATGAACAAGATCACAGTCACTATAATTTTTTTTCAAATCCTTTTGCTTTTTTCTGGTTTTGTTCTTGAAAAAGATGTCTGACCAGAGAATGGTTCCTTAATGCCAATACACTGGAGAGCATTTCCTGAAGACCTATCCATCCCTATTCTGAAGAAAGAGCATTTAGAAGTCCAGATGTAAGAATGCATTCCACCCATCTTTTAATCTGTCCAAAACTCCTTGCTAATTACTGTCATACAGCCCTTAGTCCAGGCATGGGCAAACTTCAGCCCTCCGGGTGTTTTGGTAGGCTGTTAGGAATTGTGGGAGTTGAAGTTCAAAACACTGAGGGCTGAAGTTTGCCCATGCCTGCCTTAGTCTGACACCATTTTAACTGCCATGGTTCAATGCACTTGAATCTTAGGAGTTATAGTTTGCAAGGTCTTTAGCCTTCTCTTCCAAAGAGTGCTGGTGCCTCTGTAAACTATATCTCTCATGATTCTGCAGCATTGGGCCATGGCAGTTAAAGTGGTGTCAAACAACATTAATTCTACAATGGAGATGCACCCACTGATACTGGGACAGAAACCAGTCTGGCCTTCTGGATGCTTTCAATGTCAGCTCCTGAGGAACTTGGCATAGTCAAAATTAAAGGATTGTGGATGTGTTATGGTCCAAAACAGTGGTGCAGTGACTTCGGAACTGAACTATGACTCTGGAGACCAGGGTTCAATTCCCCATTCAGCCATGGAAACTCACTGAGTAACTCTGGGTGAATCACACACCCTCAGCCCCATGATAGGTTCACTTTAGGGTTGCTGTAAATCAGAAATGACTTTTTCTTTTCATGTCAAGAGCGACTTGAGAAACTGCAAGTCACTTCTGGTGTGAGAGAATTGGCCGTTTGCAAGGACGTTGCCCAGAGGATGCCTGGATGTTTTGCCATCCGTTTTCTGGGGATGCTTCTCTGGGAGGCTTCTCTCATGTCCCTGCATGAGAAGCTGGAACTAATATATGGGAACTCACTCCACTCCTTGGATGCGAACCACCAGCAGTCCTGCCAGCACAAGGGTTTAACCCATTGAGCCACCAGGGGCTCTTTGAAGGCACACAACAACAAAGTCCAAAACACTTGGATTACCAATGATTTCTCACTCCATTTGTCTCTTTGGCAACACCTGAAACAGGTACATCTGTAGCTCTGAATGTAAGTCACCACACCTTATATGTAGCTGCCACCCAAGTCCTTTGCACAGGCCTTACAAACTCACAATGCACCTCATCACCACAAAGCGTGTGTATACATTGTGGAATCCATGCAGCTTGATACCACTTCAGCTACCATGGCTCAGTGCTATGCCATCATGTGTGTTATAGTTTGCAGAGGCACCTTCTCTTCTCTTTGACAGAGAAGGCTAAAGACTTTGTAAAACTCCATCTCCCAGGATCCCAGCACACTGAGCCATGTCAGTTCAAGTTGGCAAACTACATGAATTCTGCAGTCTAGACCAGGCATGGGCAAATATCGGCTCTCTGGGTGTTTTGGACTTCAACTCCCACCATTCCTAACAGCCTCAGGCCCTTTCCTTTCCCCCTCAGCCACTTAAGCCAATGAGGGGGAAAATGAAGGGGCCTGAGGCTGTTAGGAATGGTGAGAGTTGAAGTCCAAAACACCCAGAGAGCCGAGGTTTGCCCATGTTTAGTCTAGAGGTATCCAAAGGCATAATTTCTGCTTCCTGGACCTCATATTTGATGCTTGACTTCCCAGTCTCCAAATACTCATAGGGATGAAACAGCAATGGGAAGCAACACTACCTCTCTGCTTAGAGATGGAAAACCTGCAGCTTGCCCCCACTTTTATTGGCACTGAAGAGTTATGGGAGAACTCTGAATATGTATCTGTCCACGACTTATGGCAACCTCATGCATTTCTCAAGGTTTCCTGAGGGAGAGATGTAGTGCTGCCAGTTCCTTCTTCTGAAATATAGCCTGTAATGGTGCCCTGGTGGAACAGTGGTTAAACCGCTGAGTTGCTGAACTTGCTTACTGAAAGATTGCAGGTTCGAATCCAGGAGTGGGGTGAGCTCTCACTGTTAGCTCCAGCTTCTGCCAACCCAGCAGTTCGAAAACATGCAAATGTGAGTAGATCCATAGGTACTGCTCCAGCGGGAAGGTAACGGTGCTTCATGCAGTCATACTGGCCACGTGACCTTGGAGGTGTCTACGGACAACGCTGGCCCTTCAGCATAGAAATGGAGGTGAGCACCAACCCCCAAAATATTACTGCAGTGAATAAATGTCCTGGATGAAAATGTCAGGGGAAAAACCTTTACCTAAGATTCGCTGGAGGTCTCCCATCCAAATCCCACCTGGGGTTAATCTTGCTTAGTTTCCAAGTTCCCCCTTTCGCCAAAGCCTCTTAAACGGCGGCGCCACCCGACTCCCTTTCTCCTGGAAGCCAGGACTTTCCAAAACAAGAAAGCACATCAGTCAATACACAAGATAATAGCATTCCTACCTTGCTTGTATATAGTAAGTAACCTGAGCGCTTCCTGAGTCAGAATCCCTGGGCTCTCCTCCCAGTTGTTGCTCTGCGCCTTCAAGTTTTCCTGGCAGGAGGAGGTTTGCCAGAGGAAGCCGAGAGGGTGTGACTCTCCCTGGGTCTCTTAGGTCTCCGGAGCTGAGCTGGGCTTCAAACCCCGTCCTAACCCGAAGCTCAGACCCTTTCTCCCCTCCAGGAAAGGACAAGAGCGCCTCACCTTCCGGAGTCGGCTTCTGGCTCAGCGAGAGAGAGGTCCGCCTGCCTGTCTTTGGTCCATATCCCAATCCACGCTCCGAAGTTACATCCTTCCCATCGCGTTTGGCTTCTCCAATTCCAACTTCCCAGCCAAGAAGAAGAAAGAGAAGAAGGGGGAAATGGAAGAGGAAGAGGCAGCAGTCCTCTTCCCTCCGTGTCTCTCCGAAAGAAAGAAGGAGAGAGAGAGAGAGAGACGTCTGATGCCAACCTATTGGAGATGCCCAAGCGCCAACCCCGAGCCTTGTGTGCCAAGGAAGGCACTGAGGTCCATGGTCTCCCTCCTTGGTCGCTGTGTGTGTAGACACACCAGAGGCGAGGAAAGAGCCTCCGAGTGTTTTTATATAATGACCAGGGAGTTGAGACGCGGCGGCGTCGGGTCTGGGAAGGAGGCGCCAGGGGGCAGCACTTGCCAAGGGATGCCCCAGCAGCAGAGGGGAGGCCAGCCCCAGTCAGCCTGGTGGGAAAGGGATGCCAATTCAGGCATATGGGGCAACCTAGGGGTTGCTCAGGTGCAAGTCCAATCTGCAGGGGAAGGACCACACACAGCTTTTGCAGGCAGAAAGACCCAGGTTCAGCATGGAGGCGATTGGAAGGAAGAGATCCCTGCCTCAACAGCTGTACAGCTGTTGCCAGGCAGTGAAGTCAACAGATCTATCCCATAAGAAGGGGATTCCTGCATTGCTTCTCTTTGCTCTCCTGCCTTTCCTTGGAAATTCACTAAGCACGAAGGTTGCAGAAACAAGCTCCATTAAAATCCATTTATCAAGATGGTGCTAGGATACCACTAAGTGTAGAATGTGAAATATATTTGACTGTCTTTGTTTTTGTTTTTTGTTGGGAGAGGGGTGAGCATGTATGCATCCTGGTATGTTAGAGAGAGAAACAAAATACACAGTCACAGAGAGAAGATATATTGACATGTTAGAGAAACAACACGCACACATAGAGAAGATGTCTTGATTTAGAGAAACAAAACAAGCATATGTATGTATATATGTGTGCGTGCGTGTGTGTATGTATATATATATAGAGAGAGGGGGGGAAGGGAGATATTAGAAAAGATATCCTGATGTGTTAGAGAAACAAAACATATATATGTATGTGTGTTTTGTTCCTTTCTCTAACATATCAGGACATATATAACATATCTATATATAAAGAGAGAAGTTATCCTGATATGGTAGAGAGAGAAACAAAACGTGTGTGTGTGTGTGTGTGTGTATATATATATATATTGCGAGAGAGAGAGAGAGAGAGAAGGAGGGAGAGAGATTAGAAATGATATCCTGATATGAGAAACAAAATGTGTGTGTGTTATTTTTGTTTCTCTCTCTAACATAGCAGGACATATATAACATATATAGCATATCTATCTATCTATACACACTGAGAGAGAGAGAGAGAGAGAGAGAGAGAGAGGGGTGGGTGGGTGGAAGGGTGGGAGGGAGGGAAGATATCCTGACACATTAATGAGAGAAACAAAACACACATGCCCAGAAATATGTATAAATATATCAAGACTGCGGAAGTAGCCAGAAAGTGCTGGTGGGCATGTATTACCAACTGAAACATTAACTTAGCTATCTAAAGCCCCACACAGGCATACATCCTCCTCCCCGCTCCCCAAAGTAAGACAGTTGAATATAAAACAGCCTAGCTTCACCTGGTGTTGTATAACCGCTTTCATGTCAGTAGCTGTCAATGTACTCCTGGAGTACACTGACAGCTTGGTGAAGCACTAGCACTATTTGGAAAAGAAGGGTAAAACTACAACTCCCAGGATTCCATAGTACTGAGCCTTAGCATCAACTGCATTAATCCCACAGAATACTAACAATACTTTGAATGCGTCTTACCCTTCCCTTCCACTCCCTTATATACATTGTGGAATATATATATATATACACACACACACAAAACACAGTATAGATACACTCCAGGTTTTAGTCCAAACTTCAATCAAACTTCAACCAAATATATTCAGCACCCTGGATAGGGAACTAAAGTGGTGCAGAGGCTTGAGTGCTGGGCTACAACTTTGAAAGCCAGGGTTCAAGTCTCCAGTTGGCCATACCAACTCACTGGATGAGCTTGGACAACTCACACTCTCTCGGTCTCGGAGGAAGGCAAAAGCCAACACCCTTTGAACAAATCTTGTCTAGGTTTGTCTTAGGGTCTCTATAAGTAGAAAAAGCTTGAAGGTATACAACAATCCTGGATCCTTTTCCTTTCATGCCAAGCTCTGAAGTGAATTATTCACCCCACTGTCTTCAACATTGTTTCCCAATGTTAATGGCAATGGCCTGCCTCAGTCTGAGGAAAGCAAAGAAAGAAATCTTTCTATGTCACATCCTACTCAATTTTTCCTCAACACACCACCCAACTAGAGAACACATCTAAATGTCTCAGTTGCATAACATTTCTGTTAAAGGTGAAAATAATCTACTGGCACCATTATCATTTAAAGTATTGTTCCTCTCCAGGGAAAAATGTAAAAATATAGTGTAATTTTTGGGCAATTTTCATTTAATTGCTCACCGTCTTGGGAGCCAGCCTATAAACATTTTAAATGATTGAATACATAACTCTATTTGTCTATAAAATACACTGTTCTTAATGTGGCACTCCCCATTTCTCTGGATTCATTAAATCCACATCTGAAAATACAAGGTAGAGGCGGGTGCTACATCTTTTCTTTCTAAAGCTTTCCATTTGTTTCTGCCTCTGTCTCCTTGCATTCACTCTTCTGGTGTACTGCTGCGGAAAATAATATACATTGACTATAACTTATGCTTGACTTTAAAAAAGCTCTCCTTCTGTCTTACTTTATGGCACTGTTCATAAAAACAAACATTCCAGATGTGACAGTATTTACAGCAGTAGGTATCGAAGTTGCATTTTGGATGCAAGATAGCCAGGCTGAGCTTTTGGATGAGTATAGTTTTTACATTGGCTCAAACTAATGCCAAATACTAATTTCTAATTTCAAAATATGTGGGACCATACTTTCCATACCAATGCAGTGTACTCTGATTACCCTCTGTGCAAGGATGCTAACAAAAGATGAGAAAAACTTAAAATTTACCCAACAACTCACTTCCTAAAAGAGTTCATGCGGTTTCTACTCTCTCATAAAAATCTGTCTCTACCAGCCATTGGGTAAGCAGTGGGATCCCTCGCAATTGCATCATTTCTATTCAGGAACTTGAGTTTAACTGCTTGATTTCCTTGTCCTTAAAGGTAGAAATTCAAAATTATGTTCCTCTACAGTCCCTACAGTGTAAGCAAACAGAATTGCAGAAACGAAAGAAAACACATTGAGCAGATTGCTCAGATTTAGGAGAGTAGGTGAATGATAACACACATTTTTTGCCTGCAGAAAGCCAAGGTTCATTAGAGTTGATCCCAAGGTTATTTCAGAAAAAAGATCCCTATCTGAAAATCTGTCCAGTTGCTTCCAGACAATGTAGGTGACACTATCCTAAATGTCTCAATGGCACCGCTTGGCCTAAAGCAGTTTCCAACAAAGGAATCAAGATGGGTAGGGACTGGAAAGGTGACCCTTTTATCACTCCAGCTCCCACTGTTTCATTTATTTATTGCATGTCAAAAGCATTGCATAAATAAGTATAAAACTGATAAAAATAGAAGGGGCACAAGTGGGTAAATAGTTTTTGATCAAAAATGGACAACAGCGACTGCATTGTCTGTAGCTTTAAACAATTCTTCCTCTGTGTATGAGGCAGGGCATTGAGGACAAGCATATCAATGCAGAGTTATTTGCTCTGCTCCACAGTTGCGCAAGGTGGATGATTCTTCTAGGTTGTGCTGTTTTGCCAGGTTGTGTTTTGATCTGCCAATTCCGCTTCTGAGTCTGTTCAGGGACTTCCAAGTTGCCCATTCTTGGTTTGTCCCTGGAGGCAGACCCTCGTGGGGGAGGGGGGGGGTCATCAATTTGGGATTTCCTGGTTTAGCTGCCCAGAGGGATATTCTTGCTATTGCTGGGGGAACATTAAGAGGAATGGTGGTTCTCATGAAGCTTTTCCTTGATTTGGGTCTTTTGGGAGGAGGCTGATAGCCATGCAGTGGATGGCTTTTACAGTGTTCAACCTTATTTCTCTCAAAGTCAGCAGCAACTTCCCATCACACATCAGGGGAGGCAATGCCAACTAGCTCGGAGAGTTTATCAACAGGTGTAGGTTTGAGACATCCTGTGATGATTCTGCATGTTTTGTTCAGTGTTATATTCACCTGCTTTGTGTGAACAGGCTTGTGTCAAACAGGGCAGGCATACTTAGCAACTGAGTAAGACAAGGCCAGGGCTGATGCTCTTATTAATTTTGTGTCTGCACCCCATGCGCTGCCAGTAAGTTTCTGCAGGATGTTATTGCATGCAGCTACTTTGTGCTTGGTGTTCATACAGTGTTTCCTAAATGTTACTGTTCAATCTAAAGTGACACTGAGATATTTAGGATAGAAACTTCTACTGATGAGAGCTCCTAAACTACATACAAAAACCAGAAAGAGTATGATTGTACCAATGTTGGCAAGAGCATCGCATTCAGAGAGCATTTCTTTGGGTCTTGTGGTGGCCTCAGCTACCATCAATGGGATTGACAGCTGCATATTATGCACCAAAGCAGGTGTGGGCAAACTTCGGCCCTCCGAAGTTTTGGACCAACTCTCACAATTCCTAATAGCCTACCGGATGTTAGGAATTGTGGGAGTTGGAGTCCAAAACTCCTGGAGGGCCAAAGTTTGCCCAAGCTTGCACCAAAGTGTTGTTAAAACTCAGTTCCTCTTTCATTGCACATCACACAGCAGCGTCTTTGGCATCATTTCTAGTAGGAGGGATGGTGCATGCTGAGAGATCTCTGCTTTGCATGGTGGAGATCAGCTCTAGAATTTCTTTTTCTAGGGAAGGAAAGTCAACCTGGTGGAGATGCAAGTTAATTGATAAGACATTTATCTGGTTAATAAAGGAAGTGATTCTAAGGCTTTCAAATTTTCATTCTTCTGAATGATCAAAGGAGAAAACTCCATGTGCCAAGATAACTTTCCATTCCAGGCCCAATGCTTTTCTTTTTACTATAACCATATGTATACTGTAGTGGGGATTTTAAGAATGCATAGAATTAGGAGTTTAAAAAAACTTTAACCACTTTGTTGTTTCAACTACAGTACAAGTGTAGAATCAATGGGACTTACACAATATTAGAATGATAGAATCATTGAGTTGGAAGAGACCTTATGGGCCATCTAGTCCAACCCCCTGCCAAGAAGCAGGAAAATCACATTCAAAGCACCCCTGACAGATGGCCACCCAGCTTTTGCTTAAAAGTCTCCAAAGGAGGAGCCTCCACCACACTCCGGGGCAAAGAGTT